AGCAACAAAATTTCCACACATAGAAAAAGTACTTGAAGATTACCAGACCAAAACATATCTACTTATGCTTTAAAACAGACGGGACTTGATGTACGAAGTGTGCTCCGATATCAATGTGTCCCAAAATTGTTGGTGGTAATGTCCACGCGTCTGTGTTGTGTTTATCTGAACATTGCTGCGATTGGGAATTTTCTCTCAAATCGTAGTTTTACCCACTTCAGAATGAAATAATCTGATAAAGATCTGGCAACATTTGATTGCGAACATTTACAGTGATTTTCGAAAAAGGCTTGGATTATGTGGATTATGTAAACATTGGAACGATCATTAATGAGAAAAAGGTATAGAGGCGCTGACTACAACACAGGCAAGTTAATGAATGAGAAATACAATTTTCAGTAAGCCAAAGAACTAAATGCATGGCGCCTAACAAAAGACCTAGAGCTAAAAAGATAAATTAATGTTCAATGAAAACAAATGAAAAAGCAGTAAGTTCGGCTCGGCCGAATTAATATCCTCTAACATTTGGAAGCAATTTGTACAATTGAAACAATTCCGGGGAATAATGTCGCTAAAATCATAAAAATACGGAATTCAGAGAGATACCGTTATATGGGGCCTATACAAAGTCGTGCACATGCACGGACAATTTTCTGTCATAGGCTGTCCTATCCATTACGAACTTCAAATACCAAATTTGAAATAATGTCGCTTGAATCACTAAAATACCGAATATCGGGAGATAGCGTTATATGGGGGCTATACGTAGACGTAGACCTGCACAGACAATTTTCTGTCATAGGCTGTAGTATCCATTACGAACTTAAAATACCAAATTTGAAGTAATTCCGGCAAATAATGTCGCTAAAATCATCAAAATACGGTATTCAGGAGGGTACTATTGTATGGGGGCTATACGAAGACGGGGACCTGCACAGACAATTTTTTGTCATAGGCTCTAGTATCAATTACGAACTTCAACTACGAAATTGGAAATAATTCCGGTGGATAATGTCTTCTAAAATTACAAAAATACCGAATATCGGGAGGTACCGTTATATGGGGGCTGTACGAAGATGTGGACCTGTACAGACAATTTTCTGTCATAGGCTGTAGTATCAATTACGAACTTTAAATACCAAATTTGGAATGATTCCGGTGAATAATGTCGCTAAAATCACTGAAATACCGAGTATCGGGAGATACCGTTATATTGGGGCTATACGAAGACCTGGACCTGCAAAGATAAATTTCTGTCATAGGTTTTAGTATATATTAAGAGCTTCAAATACCAAATTTGAAAAAATGCCGGTAAATAATGTCGCTAAAATCATTAAAATACCGAATATCAAGAGGTGGCGTAATATGGGGACTATGCTAGAACTATATTGACAGTTCTATGCAAGTATATTTCTGGGAACATATTCGGGTTAAAAATGTAACTAAAACTCCAAAAAAAATCTTAAATCGCACATCGCTAAATTGACATAGAAAACATCCTAAAACTCATTTACGAAAAAGCCAGCCGATGAATTAAGAGAGTCAAAAAAGAACTTAAGGTGAGAGTACAGAGATGGTTTTTTTTTTTTTTTTTTTGACTGGCTTAAGTCATCGCCTGGCTTCTTTGTAGAGAAATAAGGAAGTTTTAGGTTGACTTAGTTCGATTTTGGCACTACGCTCCTTTGAAGCCAGTCGATGACTTAAGCCAGTCAAAAAAATTGTTTTATGTATCCTCACCTTTAATGTATTCTCACCTTATACCCCCTGTCTAAGGCCTATAAATGTTCGGATAAGAAGACTACTTATGTCAACAATTTGATAATGAACCTAGTAGTTTTTAAACCATTGTGATTTGACTCTCTTTGAATTTCAAATCTAAATTTTGGCAATAAATTTACTAGTCAGATAGGTATACTGGCTGGCCTCATGAAAAATATTTTTATGTTTGTTCGGAATATCTAGACTTTCTTTAAGATCCTAATGCTCTGATCTAGAATCTGCAAAACTGTAATAGTTTTACAATTTTTTCCGATATCATAAAAGGAAAATTGGTTATCGTGTTAAAAAATTGTACATTCTTGCAGTTCAGGAAAAGACCAATAGTTATATCCCTCAGAATCGGGAATATTTCCCCTTATGATCCAGAAGTAATAAAACAATTTCAAATATTTTAGTTAAAAGACATAACGAATTTTTTTATTAAAGTTCGTAATTCTATTTTTAAACAGATGAAGCAGCGCTAACAACCCAGGAGCGGAGGGCAGCAACATCAGCATAGACACCAGGGTAGTTGGTGTAGGCACAGCCATAACCCCAGGAGACAACACCAACCAAGACACCACCAGAGACCAATGGGCCGCCGGAATCACCTTGGCAAGCATCCTTACCAACAGTGTAGGCACAGATCATGCTAGCCTTGATTTCAGAGCCATAACCATAGGTGGAGGAAGCACATTGGGTGCGGCCAACAATCTTAACATCGACATAACGCAATTGGCTGGGGATGGAGGAGGAGCCAGAAGTTTGGGTACCCCAACCAGAGACGGAGGCAGAAGCACCATTAGCAGGAGCGGTGGAGGCCAAACCAATAGCCTTGATGGTGGAGCTCATGGTCAAGGAGGAGGACAAACGGATGACAGCAATATCGTTAACCATGGTCTTGGAGTTGTAACCTTCGTGGTTCTTGAAAGCGGCAACGGAAACCAAGGTACCGCCAGAGTTCCAGTAGGAAGAACCGGCACGAACCTTCAAGACGGAAGCAGAAACGGATTGCAAGCAATGGGCAGCGGTGACAATGATCTTGCTAGAGTAGACGGAACCACCGCAGGAGTGGGAGCCGGAACGTTGCAAAGAGATTTGCCAGGGGAAGGAGCTGATGGTGGTAGCAGCACCGCCAACAATGCGTCCATCCAATTGGGGCAACATACCCTCAGGTACGGTGGCGCCCAAAGCGCAGGCAAGAGCCGACAATAAAATTACGAACTTGAACATGTTGATGAGTAAAAATCAACTACTGAAGTTCTCAGCGCAAAGCCAGGGCTTTTATAGCAAATAATTCTAAGAGATTGCAATCATTTCTATTTCCTTTGTCCGTTACCTGCCTCCATATTATCTGTTGGGTACTTCAGTTGGTGCGTGGTGCCATGTTTAATATTTCGCCAAAGGCATACACTGATTTGCCTGATATAACATAACTACAACGTATACTCAGATTAGATATGTCCAGCCAAAAGATGATTGGTGGAAAAGTTTGTTTTTTTTTTCGGCAATGCCGGTTTTATTTTGCAAACAGTTAAAATGTAGTCAAAATCAAATGGGGGGGCCTTTGGGTAGCACTTTTAAATTAGAAAACGTTTACAAAAAGGCAAAATATTTGAGTATTTAAAAATATTGCTACGATAATGGCTACTAATATACTCACGATGTTAGAGTCATAAGTAAAGCGTCTTTCCTACATTTGTGTTAAAAAATACAACATACTTTAAGGCGTCAAGTCAAAATACATTATTGTGATTGAAATCACAGAAAAAAGATAAACAAGACCTCGAATTGAATGTCATCAACATCTTCCATTTGAATACCTTCAACCCTACAGGAAGGAACCTACAGGAAGAATAGTCTTCCCTTTCATGGCCCTTTAGTCTTCAATAATAAAAACTCTTCCATCAGAAGACTTGGTCAAACATTTCCTCTTCAATCTACTGAAAGGAATTCTAGCCCCAATTCTACATCTGGCTCTCTTTCCGGCATCATGTTTTATTAGAAAGCTTGTTCCCTTGAAGAATATCCTCAAAGTGTGTTTAATTTATATTCGGTTACCATGGAAACTCTTTGAATATTTTGTTGACTTTCCAAATCAAGACATCCCTGTGTTTGTTATTATTTTTTTATTAATTTTCCAATCGATCAGTACAAAATGTTTTCCACAAACATTAATGAAGAAATAACAGCCGAGGAGTTACAACATCTATCCAAGCTTTGTCTGGAACGCATACGAGTGGGTGAATTACATTGTCTGAGAAATGATGCCAAGCTGAGGGCCGTGAATAATACCAAAACTTATGATGAATTCAAGTAAGTACTCAGGGATTGTTAGACTAGTTCTAATTTCAAATACAATTCTTTTACAGGGACATTGTGGATGCTGCCCATTTGAAGCCGATTACCAAACAGGATAAAATGAATGCTAAGACCAGAAATCGTTTATGGAATAAAGCAGCAGCGGAAGTGGATGATTAAAAAAAACATACATTTTACTTATTTTTACAAGTGGAACTTGTTTCTCGAGGAAGAAAATTATGGAAGTCCTAAATATACAGTATACAAGGAAAAATGTCATAGAAAGGAGAACTAGAGCACATTACCACATTTGATATAGAAAAATATGTGCATTACTTTATTTAAAAATGAAAATTTCGAAGCAACTCGATATTGAATGCGATAATTTAAAGCCTGCATATTGAATCTATATTCTTATTATTCGGAAAGTTTAATAAAACTTCTAGTCTAATTCTAAGAACTCATTCCTTGCTCATGTAAAAGTGTGGCTTTTAAGTTAAATTTATTGCTTTTTTATATTCATACTTAAAAAGTTCCATATAATCTTTACTTATTTTAAGGAAGAAAAGCAAGACGGTATTGAATTTTTTCTCATTTGAATCCTTTACCAATCCAAACTCAATTTTCCATTCACCAAGTATACGCCTCTTACAGTTTTTCTCTTTAATTTATGGAGTATCAAACTCCTATAAGGCATAAATCTATTAATACCCCAAATGCCATTCGAACCATGTTCACCTGTACAAGGAAATACATTTGTCAATTGATAAAGCTGTTTAATTTAAACCAAACAAAACGCTGCTACTAATCTTATCACTCGAATCTTAAATTATTAATGTTTCAAGTGGTGGTGGCGGTGGCGGTGGACACTCTCGCTGATTTTCCCCCAAAATTCTACGTAATTGTACGTAAAATCCATTGCTGCTGAAGAGTGGTGAAATACAACTCAATTCGCTGTTCTAATAATAATGAATACAAAAACCAACGATCGTCTGCTGAAGACTTCAGTTGTTCAACAAGCTTCCACGGCCCCAGCATGTTAAAATACCTAATAATACTGTCATTGGCTTGTGCCTGTGCTTTCGGTGCAGCCGTGCCTCAGGGCATGCTGCCACAATTGGATGGACGCATTGTGGGCGGTAGCTTTACCACAATTAGCTCCTTCCCCTGGCAAATCTCATTGCAACGCAGTGGCTCACACTCCTGTGGTGGTTCTATTTATTCGGCCAATGTCATTGTAACCGCTGCCCATTGTTTGCAAAACGTTGCATCGATATCTGTGCTCAAGGTACGTGCTGGTTCTTCGTATTGGACCTCTGGTGGTGTTCTGTTGTCCGTTGCTGCATTTAAAAATCATGAAGGCTATAACCCCTCAACCATGGTTAATGATATTGCTGTTATACGTCTATCCTCCTCGCTGACCATGAGCTCTACGATTCGCCCAATTGCATTGGCCACAACTGCCCCGGTCAATGGAGCTGAGGCCACAGTTTCTGGTTGGGGTACCGTAGAATCCGGTTCCAATTCTTTGCCCACCCAGTTGAAATATATTGATTTGAAAATTGTTGGCCGTACTCAGTGCTCTTCAGCCACTTATGGTTATGGCGCCGAAATCAAAGCTACCATGATCTGTGCAGCTGCTGCGGGTAAAGATTCATGTCAGGGCGATTCTGGTGGTCCATTGGTGTCTGGTGGTCTTTTGGTTGGTGTTGTGTCCTGGGGTTATGGCTGTGCCTATGCCAACTATCCTGGCGTCTATGCTGATGTTGCTGCCCTACGTAGCTGGGTTGTTGAAGCTGCTGAAAGTGTATAATGATTTTTGGAAATACGATAAGGAATATAGAAGATATTTAGAAATGTACATACAATATACATACCTACATACATCAGTGCTGTTTTTAATTAATAAATTTAACTGATTCTGCCTTTCACAGTTGAATATATATAAAAGTCTTGAAGGTCTTCCAAATAAACGCCATTAAAGGGGACCAGGGATATCTTATAAGAAATTCAATTTTTCAAAATGTTCTCGTGTTATACTCGAAAAATAGTCTATATCTTCTATAACAAAACTTAATGTTCTCCAGAAAATACGTTTTTCCTTTCGTGAGAAGACAAAGTGACATTCTAAAAAATGTCTTATAGTCATAAAATATATAATAAAAATGTCTTATAGTGTTATATAGAATCTAATAAGACGATCTTGTAGTTTTCAATAATTGTAGTCTTCAATACGAAACCCAATGTTCTTCTGAAAGAGTATCCTATGCTCTTCTCGTCTCCCATAAGAAGGCCCACCAGCCTTTTCTTAAAAATACCTATTGATTTTTCATACGATGACGTATTGCTCTGTATTTAGAAAAAATATCAGTCTTCGGCTAGATAACCTATTGACCTTCTTTTAAAAAGACAAAGGTATCTCCTTTATTTCCTATTAGAATATCTATTCGTGTTTTTTAATAAAAAGTATGACCTTCATTTAAACAATACCTGGAACTATTTGTCTCCATTTGGAATTCCTCCGTGTCTTCTATCAAAGGAATCATTTTATGTTCCAAAAATGGCTCTTATTGATCAGAATTCTTTTTTCTCGATCGTCCCAACGCCTCACTTTCCCACCTCCCCATAACGTACCCCATATTCCGGATTATAGGGGGTTAGTAGACTAGGGAAGCCGGCTACATTAGAACATCAGCCGGTTAACAATTAAAGGTTAAATTATCTGTGCTAAACTGCAGTAAAACTAAACTTCACAAAAACTAAGTCTAGCAACATTTACTGATTCTCCATTAAAAGAAATACTACTTCTATAATAAAATTTCATGTTCCTAGTAGAAGACATTTTCCCGATGAACAATCAGGCTATTTGATGATATAAAATGTCATAAAAACAAGAGAATCTATATGAAAGACCTACTGATATACTTAAAAACTATCTTTGCTTTTTATATGGTCTTTTCCTATAAAAAGCTTCTGTGGACATTTTTTAAAACGTTTTGGTCTATCAGAAGACTCATCTGGTCCTCTAAGAGCCCATTTTATATTTAGGTACCTCTCAGTCTTTTATTTGAAGAAAATTTGATTTTACATTTGCAAACTCTTGGTCTTCTATATGGAAGTCTGAAAGTCTCCCATTGAAGCTGTTCTAAATCTTCTATAGAAATTGTGAAACGCCTCCTAGGTTCCTTTAACAAAACTAAAAAACAAACCCTTTTTTTATTTTACTTACAAAATTTATTGTTTTGTTTTTTTTTTTTATTACAAACATTAAGAAAAAAAATATTTGTGTATTTTTGTGAGGATTCTATCCTAGCAGAACTTAAGTTTTCTCTTCATTAAATTGCCAAAAAAATAGATATATTAAGATAAATACAAGAAAAAACTCGAACGAACATTTAGGCGGTATACAAAAAAAGAAAAAAATATGAATGAAAGGAATGTATTTTTCAAAAAAAGCTTTTGTCTAAAAATAAATGTTCCATTTAGGTGTAGGCCATCTTCTTGTTCTGTATGTGTTTCTCGGAAACGAACAAACCCACCAATGGACTTCAAATTCACTTGCGAGGCTGTTGAATGTTTATGGGATGTTTGACCGAAACATGATTTGGTGGTTTTGGGGTATGGGCCACCTGAACGGCCTCGGTCGTGTAATCCACATTGCCTTTTACCGGAGCACCACTAACCGACATGGTATTGACACTAACGGGTTGCTGCAAAAACAATAATATTTTATTGAATGTTTTTATGAATATTTTAATATTTACCGTCAAACCGGTACAATCTTCGGCATCTTTGGCTGGACGTTCCGAGTTGTGGGTTTTGTGTTGGACAATACGCATGCCACCAGCTTTAACTGTAATTAGCGAAAAAAAGAAAAACTATGATTAACATCATACTACTAACTTGAAATGGAAAACAGCCTTCTCACTGCCCTCCTAACAAATTCCTCAAGGTCAACACTGTTGTGAAGTCATTCCAAAATCCGTTTCTCAATTACTTGAAACATTTGCGCGCACACACACACAAACAAATACACATAATCTACTATGCTATTGCATTTGTAGGTGCCGATGATGTTCTAATGCGCATTAAAAATATCCAAAAAATCAACGTTGACTTACCTGCCGGTGGATGACCAGCCAAAAGTTGAGGTTGCTCTTCATCAGCCATGATTTTTATTATTTAGAAATGTTCTCGTTTTATATTAACTTTTGCGTCTAAATTAATTAAAAAACAAAAAACAAAAAGTTCGTTATTCGAATTTCATTATTTTTGTTAACAAATCTCTTACCTTTGTGACGAAATTTATTTGTGGAGTACTCGACTCTGATAAGCTCACAACTTTAATGTATTTTTGACACGACTGCAATTTACTTGCGTTCTGCTGATAGGATGGATTTTTTCCTTTTATTCCTCTAATTATTCGTTCTTTCTTTTGTTGTTGTCTTTTATGTTTATTAGGGACGGATAGATCGACTTTTGACTAATCAATCAAAATAACCAACTTGGGATTGATTTGACAGGGGTTTATAGCGCAGTACAATTAGGAGGTGAAAAGATATGCAAAAACTATTAAACGCTACGATAATGTCGATGCCCAAAAACCATTGCACACATTAAATGCACAATTTCATTGTGTATACGTAAACGCATGGTAAAAGCAAAACTACAAACGTATATAATAGCATGGCTCAATAAGAAAGGTTGATTAAACTAGAAAAAATGCAACTCTGTGCTGGAGTCTTATAGTGTCAAATAGATTTTTAAATATGCAACAGTTGGATTTGTTTGTTTTTAATAACAAAATTATATGGGGAAAAACCGGCGAAACAAAAATGGAAATTCGGAATTATTCCACAAGATTGAATCTAAAATAGTAGGTCAATACAGTTTTAATCCAAAATTGCACTATTTGTTACCCCATTTATGTCTAGATTTTGAACCTAGTTTGCAACGAAAGGGTAGCAAAAGAAAAAAATTGTATTTAAGTGGTAGCTTTGTTCTACCTTCTGTAATTATGTTGGGTTCCCTTTAGTTTTAAAATCTAGCTATATGTTCACATTATTACTCTTTACTGGATTTAAAACTCGAGTGCAAACTCCTAATTAAATGTACATAAAATATGGGGTAAAAAAATAAAATTTGTACAATAGATGTTCAAAATTTTCTAAAAGGAAATTGGTAGTTTTTCTGGCGAATACATCAGAATAATATAGCGGATAATTTTTGTAACGTTTTGAACATTTTCTTTCTTGGCTCCGTTCTGAAAAATTGTTATTTCAGCATATATTGTTCGGACACAGCTGACACAACAACTCAAGCTAGTATATATCTCGCCTCAAACAAATCGTCATAAAATTTATTTCAACAATTGGCTAAAAATATAAAAATGTTATAACAACGGTAGAAAGCTTTTGAATATTCCCTGTTTAACACCAGTATGAACCGGCCTATAGTTACCAATAATTTTGTGTCACATAGTGTAAGTGACCCTCTTCTAGTAATCAGCTGTTCTGCTTTGGCTCACCACTATTGTGATTGATTGACATTATAAACATTGTGCACGACTTTGATAAAAACAAGAAAAAGCACGATTACATGCACAAGTACATAATTAAAGCTAGATGAAAAACTGTTAATTCATGCAGCAGAAGCATAAATTATAAACAAAATATCGAATAAAAGTCCACATATAAAGGAACACCGAAAAAACATGAAGGATTCAAAGGTAAAGAGAAAAGAAAATAGGTGATAATCATACAAAATGTCAAATTACATCACATGTAAAATGGGCGAATTAAGCGTTTAATTAAAAATAATAATGTCGGAATTGAATAAAATTATTCTATTTGTTAATCTATTTAATTTGTTGTTGCTTTGCACGGCAATTGAACAGAATTTTCCAGCATTGAAAAATGACAACGTATTGAAGGCAGCACGAGGAGAACCCGTTGACCGGGTACCAGTTTGGGTAATGAGACAAGCCGGCCGCTATTTACCAGAATTTCAAGAAGTACGAAAAGAACATGATTTTTTCACAGTATGTCGAACACCCGAGTTGGCATGCGAGGTTACCATGCAACCACTGAGACGTTTTGATTTGGATGCATCGATTATATTTTCCGATATATTGGTAATACCCCAGGCATTTGGCATGACCGTGGAAATGCATCCTGGTGTGGTGAGTATTTTTTATATTTGAAATATGCAAAATGTAATAATTTAAAAATTCTTAGGGTCCAGTATTTCCTGAACCTTTGCAAACCCCTGCTGATTTAGCAAAACTTAAGCCCGAAGGAGCCGTGGAACGTTTGTCCTATGTGGGTGATGCCATTACCATGATGCGCCACATGTTAGATGGTAAAGTGCCTTTATTGGGTTTTACTGGAGCTCCCGTAAGTATTCAATTTTTCATTGATATTTTAGGGAATAATTATGATACCCTAACTTCCAGTGGACATTAATGGGTTATATGATTGAAGGAGGCGGCAGCAAAACAATGTCCAAAGCCAAGGCCTGGCTAAAAAATTACACAGATGACTCCAAAAAGTTGCTGGATATGCTAGCATCCTCTATCGTTGATTATTTGGAGATGCAAGTTAAGGCCGGAGCACAAATGGTACAGGTTTTCGAATCATCTGCCGAACACTTGTCTAAGGAGGAATTTTTGACTTGGTGCGCACCATATCTTAAGGACATTGCCAGCAAATTAAAACAGCGTTTATCCGAACAAAATATACCGTTGGTTCCCATGGTATGCATTTCAATGTTCCTATGTCAAACTTTGTAATTTGATTTTATGTCTTTTCTTACAGACAATTTTTGCCAAAGGTGCTGGTCACTCTCTGGCCGAACAGGCAACTTTTGGTTACGATGTAATTAGTTTGGATTGGACCGTTGATCCTGAGGAGGCACGCAAACAAGTTGGCCCCAATATAACACTGCAGGGTAATTTAGATCCTCAAGATCTGTATAAGACACCTGAAGAAATTCGTGAACTGGCCACAACTATGGTGCGTAAATTTGGCAAGACACGTTACATTGCCAATCTGGGACATGGCATAACACCACAAACACCAATTGTAAGCATGGAAGTTTTTGTAGATGCTGTACACAAAGCCTTATAGATTAAGAATGCATTTTTTACATATATTATTTTTTCTTATGAAGACATCAATAAAATCCAAGGGAATTTTTGGTTAGCTCTGTAAAACTGGATTTACATGTTTTAAATAAATGAACATCATTCGATCTCTTTGTAATGTTCATCTCTTGAAAACCTAGCTATTCATTCTAGGTTTAAGTTTTCATGACATTTTACTCGAAAATGTTTTTCTTTTTTATCATTGGACCTCCCATTTTATTTGAAATCTCAATTAATTTTTTATCCATTGTTTCCATAAATTATTACTGATGAGTTGATTTACCTTTTCCAATCTTCTAACCAATTAGGATTTTCGGTGTATATTTGGTAAGGTTTTATTGAATTAGATTTGAAACTTCCCGATTAGGGCGTTTCAATCACAGCCTGTTCTCTTAATGCTTGATCATACAACATAATGGATGAACCCATGCACACCAAAAGTGTTCCAACTATGACATCTGCAAAGAACGGAAATCATTTAAAATGAAATCATGGGTCTTTCCCTCAAGAACTCACTTCTTCCAGGTATCTTTTCACCCAGCAAATAGCCCGTTATGGCAGTAAAGGCAAATGTCAATGAATTGGCGACAGGAACTGCAACAATTATCTCACAAAACTGCAAAGTCCAAACATAAACAACACTACCCAATTGATTTAGACCAAAGGGTATCCAATATTTCAGACGTAATGCTATAGTTTTCAATTCTAGCCAAAGGTTTTTGGAAGATGACCCTGTATTTATTTGCTCGATGCCTTCACTTCCACGACGAATGAAGGGATTTGTACAACCCCAAAGTACTCCAACACAAATTAAACAAACTGAAAGGAATGGAATGAATCTGTATATTATAATATAAAATAAATATGCTTACGAATGTTAAACATTGTAGAAACGACCACTTTTCCAACTTCAAATTACTGTCTTGACCTGGGAATTCTGTTTCTTTACCGTTATTGTGAATTGTTTGGCTTTGAATTTATGTGATGGAGCATTAAGAGGCACTGGAAACTTGTTTAGACAGGAAACTTAATATTTTAAATAATGGAAAATTGTATAAATCTCCATTTGTACTCACAAGACGCTTGAAGAAATTGATCATTTTTCTAATTCCTATGAATTGTTTACCTTCTTATCTTCGTTGTAGAAGTCATTGTGAATTCATTGAGGGCTTCTTCAATTGCAGCGTATGTCGACATTTCACAAATAAACTATAGATATACTATTTAAATATATATCCTAAATAACAAGATCTTCAAAAGTTAAATCACGATAAAAGGATTTATGCAATGTACCGATCTTATGCAGTGTTAATTTAATATTGATATTATATATTTGTTCATGTTATTGTGAATTGACCAATTTCCTCTTGCAATGCACTATAAAATTATAGCACCATTACACAGAGTGGCAAAAGGGAAAATCAATCCATAATTAGACTAGACGAGTTTGTGGTAATTTTTATTGCTTTCTTTTCAATGCATGCATAAAAGGCCATTTGTTTTCAGCAATATTCTTTTTCATTATTGTCTGTTTTTTTATTAATATTTATGATTAAAGAACACAAAAAGATTTGTCGATACGCGTAGTTTTTCCCATTTCTTTACCTCCTCTTACCCCCCTTTTGTGACTTGGCACAGATAAACTTTCCTAATACAAATTCGGATAGTTTTATAAATAAAATTAAAAAAAATATTTATAGGACCCTTCGACATTATAACAAAACAAATCCAATCCCAAACATCAGTTATGTTTTTTTTTAATTTATTTTATTTGTAATATTTTAAAAAAATTGTTGTAATTAAATCTTAACTTAGCATTGATACATAAAATTGATTATAAAACATTTATAGATAGATTTTTGGGTGATTTTGTTATGATAGACAAAAAGAGGCATATAAACTGAAAATAAAAAATGCTAAAACAAAACAATGTTTGCAAATTAAAAAAAATAACGCTGCTAACAACGTTAATTACAAAAAAAAAAAAATATTGAAAAATAAGTGTATTAGTTGCGTTGCTTGAAATTTAGGCAACAATAGAGAAGCAAAACACAAAATCAAGAAATTTTTAATAGAAAACACAGTTAAAACAAAAATTAAGTGGGGAGTTTCAAGAAAGAAAAATAAATTGGCGGTTCTTGTTTATTAACTGTGTCTTCTTTCCAAATTCTAGATTAGATAAATTTTTGGTTGTATTGTGTTGCAATATGTTTACAGTTGCATAATCCTCATCAGTTAAAAGATGGCAGTTGTTAATAGTATGTAAATTATAAATAAAACAATACATATGTAGTACCAAGTGAGAGTAGTTTTGTTTAAGGGGTGAAAGTAGGTACTTTGTTTATGGATAATAAATATAGTTTTGTATACTAAATTCCTTACTGAGGCCATTTGTAATTTGTTTAAATCTTTGCTTTTAGAAGAAACCGGCTTTATCTGCCATATTTACTATCTTATCGATATTAGCATGTAGGGTTTTTAGTTGTTGTAACGTTTCCGGATCCATTGCCTTAATGATGTCTGGAGTTAAATCATCAATCTTTTTGGGTCTCATGGAGATGACGCCATTACGCAATGGTATATTAAGATGGGCAAATGTACCAGGTACACTAAAAAAAGGAAAGATGAATTAAAACGAAATTTCAATTATGTATAATGAACAAACAACTTACGTATTGGCCACCAAGGGACTGCCACATTTGGAAAGCACCAATTCACCAGCTCTGGGGAAACGCAAAAATGTCGGTGGCGAAAGCGGTGACTGTGGTTCATTGGCATCTTTGGTCGAACGATCAGCGGAGAGAGCCTTGCTCCTTGATGCCATGGGCGTTCTCATTTTACTACGCGAATGATGGTCACTGGCCGTACTGCTGCCGGCATTAATGGATAACTGTGAAGATGTTTTTGATTTCATTGCGGATCCCGGTATACCATAATCTCCACATGCTGAACGACTACGTCTTGGCCGCCTGGCACGGGCTGAGCTTAATGGCCCCGGTGTACGCAAGCGCGCCGATTGATGTGGTGGCAGTTGTTGGGTCCGCATAGCAGATGAATTCAAATAGGCTGCATTTGTTGTCGATGAGCCTAAACTGGCTGATGTGGAACTATCCTCTGTAAGGTAGCCTTTACCAAATGAGTCAATAGCCAAGAGAATTTTATGTAAAATAATGGATTAGGAAGAAAAGGAGTAATGAGATGAGGCGTGTGTGCGCATATTATAACAAAAACATGTGTGGTGTGTGCATAAGATAGATATTTTTGTAATAAAGAATGTAAATAGTACCATAAAACCCAAGTGATTAGAATAGCAATACATATAATGAGACCTAACGTTGGTTAGCGGTTTATGTAAAATATGAAAATTACTAATGGATAAATTGATACTCATTAATGAAAAAAAGGCTTTCAGACTAATAACATTCATTGGGAATTTATATCTATTAAACCATTATGAATATTCTTCCATATAAATACCCCTAAAAATATCTTCTAACTCTACAAAAATTTACGGGTTTCAATACACGAGATTTAAGGAATTTCGTATGGAGAATGTTTTTTGTATTTTCTAGTTACAGATCTTCTAGTTTTCTGCATATGGTCTTTTGCAAGTTATTTATCATATATATTTAAATTCAAATGACGTTGCAAAGGTTATTCCTGTGAGTGTAACACTCGCATTATCGCAACGACCCAAATGCAGGTATCTGTTCTACAAAATTTCACAACAACAACAAAACGTTAAAGACCAAAACTAAGCATGATCAAAGAAATGATTTTCCAAAAAAATAAGGGTGGATTTATATGGAAAAGAAGCAAAGAAATTTTACAAGGTGTTAAGTAAAACATCTACATCGGTTTTCTCCATTGACAGATTGTTACCAATATGTTCCCAAAAACAATATGAATTCCATGACACCAAAAAAGCCGCTGAGCCCATGAAGATAACCACCAAGAAGTATTCATGATTATTTACAAAACATTCAAATAACTCACCCTCGTCATTGGGATTTGTAATTTTAGCCGAACGCAGCAATGTGGAATTTGACATGTTTTCTTCATTTCGTAATTTCATTTTTTTATCCCAGTCGGCAAATTTCTCTAAGTCCATGTCGAAAACATCGCAAATTTTCATCTGCAACAAAGCTGTACTTGTCTTTTGCAACAACATTGTAATGCGCTGCTCAAACGATGTCACATAGTCCTGGACTTTAACATCGAAATTATTTTGGAAACCCTCCAAGGTATTTTCAAATTCCCTTATCTTTTCTTCGCGTACGGCTTCCTCACGATTACGCTTGGAACTTTTTGAAACCTTGGTGCGCGGCATTTTTTCTGTATTGTTGTTTTGATCCTGGTATGGTTTTATGTGAGCTATTTGCTAAAGCGATTTTAGAGCAATCGCTATAATTTTCCTAGGTAATTTCCACAATTTTTCTTCTGTTGATTTTTCACTTATTTTGGTTGCTTCGTACGTTCAAAAAAATATTTATAAAATGCCGCGACAAATCAGTTGAGGAGGTCACACACAAGCTTGAATTTCCAAGATCGATACGATTTCTTCCAATGCAATGTTGGCTGCACTGCTTACTGTGTATGTGTTGCCAACTATTTTGTTTAATTTGTTCAGCAAACATGAACGTATAGCGTAAAACTTATAAAATCAAAGAGAGTGAAAATAGAAATAAAATAAATAAAAAGAACAAAATTGGGGTATTATTAAAAGGCGATGACTTTTACGAAGGTTTAAGTGGTCTATTACCGGCTGCCACATAAAATTCTGCTTGAAATGTAATTTTTCATCAATTTAGTCGTACATAAAGTTTCTGTAGATCGATTTGCATTTTTGAAGATAATAATTGTAGGTTATCGTAATTAATTTATTTGCAAGTGTCTAAAAATCATAATAATATTCAAGCAAATATAAGAAGTAAGCTATAAATCCCTTATATTTGTGATTTTAATTTATGTTTTTTGCGCCTGCCGTAAATAAGAGATTTATAGATCGAATTTTGACTATGCGCTTGTTCTTATGCCAGCCTACTTAACTCGATTAACACTCACACGGCCACTGCAACGCGGGTTTCGATCAAATCGCTTCTTTACTTTTCGAACCATTTCTGCTGATTTTGCTGTTTTTTTTTTTTCGACCACTTCCTTGACGTCGGGCTACGCTTCAAAGATTTATTCAAATTTAAATGCTGGAGTGCTCTAACGATAGCCAGTGAAATATAAAGAATTCACAATTTTTTTCTGGAAAAATTCTCCCCAAAATGCTTTTGTACGCTTGTAAATAAAACAATGAGCTGTCGCTGGAATAATTTTAACAGCTGTCGGACGAGTGGCTTAGAAATGACAGCAGTCTGAAGTTGATTGCAGTTTTTTTTTATCTCACCTTGTAGATATTTCTTTTGGAGATATAATTCGACGCAAAGATTTTTTTTTAACTAAATCAAGGTTAAGGGACGTTTAATTCACAATTGCTTGCATGGTAAAAGAATACAGGCAGATGTATCATGGCTTGGAAACATTGATATGTCAAAAATTTTAAAATGTTTTTTGTTTTTTAAATATAAGTAGATATTTATTCGTTTTCTTATGCGACGTCAATCGGAGGTTATTATAATTTACGTTTTTTACAAATTTGAATAATTTTTCATTCAAAAGTTTCAATTTCAAAATTCGTTTGACGGATCATTGCCCCTGCAGCTGTGTCGATACGTCTACCTGTATTCTTCTACAATGATTGCTTGCATTTTGTCAATACGTTGGAAATCAGCTGTTCTTATCGGATGACATTTTAAATAGGCTTTGAATTAAACTTGTGACAGATGTGGCTTAAACAAAACGACACAGAACAAAACTCATCAATTCTTTGTAAAATATGGTAACACCTAATAAAGTATTTATTATTAAAATATGGTAACATTTGGTATTTGTTTAGAATATACAGGTGAAAACAAAATAACCGGAAATAAAAATACCGGCCAAAACAAAAATCACATGGAATATGTAAACAGAAAACACTTCTCTCTCTCTCTCTTTGCAAATGAGAGCAATTGACAAAGGTGTGGTGAGTTTTTTTTCAACTGCATCAGTTTTTGGTGAATATGTTACAAAACTTTGAGAAGGATAACTGATGTCGTCCTAGGAGAACATATATTAACTTGTACGAAGCGTGAAGAACGAACAGTTGAGCATTAACTACGTTACCGAACGGTTGCTAAAACCCCAAGCTATACAAAAGCTAAGTGAGAAAAAAATCCTTTGTTATAAAAGAAAATCCCAGTCTACAGCAATTACACAAGAGCTCCGGAAGATTTTTCAAATTTTCTTCCTTGAAATTTATATGAATAAAATAATTAAAATATCACGGGAATAACAAAACAAAGTAGACACCAATAAAGGAAACGTATTGAAATTAACACTTTCGGGTGTTAATTTGTATTTCTTAACAAAAAAAAATATTTTTTCCTACTAAAAAATATCTCATAACGAAAAAAAACCAACAGCTACTTTTACTGAAACGGGAAATTGTACGTTTGGAAGGTCAACTAAGCCTGTTTTTCTGGCAGGAAAACGTATTTAATCCCCCCTGGAGGTTACAGATCTAGGGATATTAATTTATTGATTTATAACAAAAATTCTAAACAACATAACGGTATAATAAAAAAAACAAACATACGACGACAAACGTATACACAAATAGTCCAGGTATCCTAACATACGACCAATTTGCCGAACAGCCAAACCAAAGAAAAAACAAAGATAAACGAACCAGGCTAATAGCATTCTGTTAAAGAGAGCGTGAGAGAAAACGGAAGTAGACGTAGTGACAAAGTCACTCACCACCACTCTTCCTCGTTGTGGTTGCACCAGAAAAAAACGGCTGTCAAAACAAAAACAACGCCAAGCAAATTGTCATCATTATCGTCGTCTCAACCTCTGACAAGGACAATAATTATCCTTATACAACACTGCAGCATCACAAATCTCCGAACTAACCCAATAACCTAAAAAAGAAGCAGGCTTGGCGAGACTAGACCGTAACCTCAACCTCATTTGCAAAAATGTTACCATAAATCGAGAGTTGGCGTTTGCTTTCAGCATTTTCTGTATGTTTGGTTTAAAGTTTCTACATTTCGTTTTGTTATTTTAAAAGAAATAAACAACAACAACAACAGCAGCAGGAAACCAAAAAATTTCCCTACGAAACAAGTGCCAAATATATATTTGTATAATTTTTGTACTAAAAACTAAAACGAGATTTTTTGTACCACACTGTCGTTAAGCAAAAACAGTGTAACAACTACCCAACAAAGAGGACCAATTATTGTCCTATTGTTTTGTTTTTTTGTCTAATCTAATAATAAAAAACATCCAAAAACAGCAGAAAAGAAATAAATAAAAACGAAACATTGCAAAAAAGGAAGTTCCGATTCAACGCATCAAGCACTTTTAAGTGCCTGAGCGAAACCAAAAACCAAAAACAAACATAAATTGCTATAGTTGTTCTTGTTGCTGAATCTCCAATTTCTTCTATAGTAGTAGCTGCATATTCGAATTTCTTTCTCTACACAAGAAATCCAAATAAAAAATCACAAAATTCCGCCGTCTATCGCATTTGCGTTTGCGAAACTATTTTCTGGCGGCCTCAAGCGTAGCAGATTTAAACCAATGCATTTAGGTTTGAAACATCATAAACCAACAAATAAAAAGCATCAAAAACGATTTTCCGGCAGCAGTAAAATATGTCTTTATCCCGAGGAGAATTCCCTTTACAGGTAAGCATCAATTCGAGGCGATAAGAATATACAGATACTATTGTGATTGAATACTACTGGAACTGTCAAAATGTTTATTTACGGTGACATTTGAAGCCATTACCGCGATAACTGACATATTACGATAAATATGACGTATACTTTATATACTAATCCAAAGTTACGGTTACATACAAATTTTTATCTGGTTTGACCCCGATAATGGACGAATCACAATGTATTTGGCTATGGAAAACATACGTTACATATATTGTGATTGGTTAATTATCACGAATAGATATTTGTATAAAAAGGCGCAACAAATCTATTTTAAACAATTTCGGCACTGAACATTAATTAGATGTCAATTCTTGATGTCTAAAGGTGAGAATACATAAAATGTTTTTTTGACTGGCTTAAGTCATCAGTTGGCTTCTTTGGAATAGAGAATAGGAGCGGCCAAAATCGAACTAAGTCAACCTAAAACTCATTTGTTCCTCTACGAAGAAGCCAGCCGACGACTTAAGCCAGTCAAAAAAGAGTTTTATGTATTCTCACCTTAAGAGTCGGTGTAAAGAAAATTGTATACTATTACCTAAATCCATCGTTTTAAGAAGCTATGTAAACCTGTTTAATGTCGCGTTAATTATGCTGTTAATTATTTTTTGGTTAATTGTTAACAAATACATATCATAACAACCTCCGATTTGACAAGGTAAATTACAGAAAATTCAGAGATGGGCAAGCTTAATTGAAATAACTTTACCTTCTTAATTTTACCATACATCTACAGGTATATGCATCAATGCATGGTAGAAGAATGCAGGTAGATGCATCAACGCTTGGGAGCATTGAAACAAAAAAAAAAAAAAAAAAAAACAACAAACAAAAAAATTTAAGTTTCTTTTCAAATATAAGTAGATTTTTATATGTTTCCTTATACGACGTCATTCGGAGGATATTATAATACAGGTTTTTCAACAATTTTTTCAGATTTAAATAATTTTTCATTCAATATTTTTAATTCCAAGTTTGGTTTGACAGTTCATTGTCCCAGCAGCTGTGTCGATGCATCTACCTCAATGCTTGGGAACATTGATATGTCAAACAATTTAAAATGTTTTTTTTTTTCGAATATAAGTAGATTTCTATATGATTTCTTATACGAAGTCAATCGAAGGGAACTATAATATAAGTTTTCAACAATTTTTACAAATTTGAATGATTTTTTATTTAAAATTGTCAATTTCAAAATTGGTTTGACAGTCATTGTCCCAGCAGCTGTGTCGATGCGTCTACCTATATTCTTCTACCATGGTATTGACGATATTATAGTATGTTTATATTAGAGCTCTTTGCCGGGTTACATCTTTTACGATGTTTTATTAGAAATATATACAATGGAGTTGGCAATGATAGAGTGGATTAAGAAGGTGTTAAACCAATTAGACTTTATGTAATTCCATTTACTCTACAATGTGATAGATGTTTACACTGTATGCAGGGATTTATAGTCCGATTTATTGTCATTTGGTTATTTTAAAACATATGACGTAGATTGGGGTCAATGGTCTTTTTTAAGCAAATTTTATGAATAAATATTTTTCTTTCTATGTCCTTGACCCTGTAAACATCGCCTTAGTAAAACAAAACTTTGCAACAATTTACACATATTTTCTTTCTATACTGCAGTCATAGCGAAAAAAAACCCTAAATTAAAACATCAAACAAAACTATGTCATGTATACGCAGTATTGACCTCAATGCGTGTGAATTACTAAACACCCAGAGCCTGTATACTTACATTATTACATTCAGACCTTACCACCATAGCCCCACTTAGTCCATTCATTCTTGTATATAAACCTGTTACAAAGCAATAAAGATGTTCTTGAACTTTCTGTGTCATTAATGTACAAAAACATACCATACCAATTCAATTTGCAACATGAACTCAATTCGATACGTTCCTCGTCGGTTTTTGTTTATTAACACACATGGCTACATGCTTATCACTCCGCATATGGTTTATTGTCAGCCAAAGAATAAATGAGATGAAAACATAGTTAGTTTTTGCGCAAACTCACCACAGCTCTCACCCCACTCTCTCACTGAATTGTTCACTTGCAAAGTGTTGCTTCCGTTATCCTACGACGGTACATTGACTTTGACAATAAACAAAAAAATTACAATTTGCTGACTATTACCACAAATTTCCTTAAATAAGTCCCTTTTGTCGTCTTTGTTACATTTGACCTTTCATTTCGACCCGATCCATTGATGCTGACTGCCCTTACACATGTTACTGATGTGAAAATGTTTTGACAACAATTGCCATCAAAACTATCTTTGTTTTATCGCTATTGACATTGTACTGTTTTCCTTTGTGTTTTTTTTTTGTGAGAACACCAAGTTACTCTCTCTCTTTCTCTTTCTTTTCATACCACTATCTCAAGTGTTTCTTGTTGTTATTATTTTGCAGTAGCTATTTGTAATGCATGGCAAATATAAACATGTTTGTTTATTGCTGCACAAGTAGGGCGAACGATTGGAAAGTTCATGTTTTCCCGTTAGTCAGCGTTATGGTGAATTAATAGCAAGGTTAAGGGACGAGTTTAGTCATACGCTAATTGATATTTTTGATTATTCATAACTTTGTTCATGGGTCGGGAAATAAGAGAGGTAGAAGAAAGGCTAGAGACAAGTATTAGGTTGGATCAGCGCTATGATTTTTTATCTATGCCTTTGAAATGAAGTTATTTATCCCACTTGAAATGTTTTTCGCTGTTGGCTTACTTTCCCAGTAAAAGTACGTTTACACATGGTACAATAAAATCGAGGTGATGCCATATGATTTTAATTTTTTTTATTTTCTTGGCTCAATATGTCGACTTTATTGTTTTTTGTCTTCTATTCAAAAAAAAAAAAAAAAAAAAAATCAAATTCATTTTTCGCGTTTTTCAATTATTTATTATTAATGTTTCGATAGTAATTCTGAAATTACAAGCCATGTCTTCATTGTATCATACGTTTACATACAAAATATCTGTCGGGATTAATCCATATAATCAATCACAATACTGTTGACTATATAAAACATGCTTTAAATTTATTGTGATTGGACAATTATCAGAGTTAGTCCGGGTAGAGATTTTGTATGTAAAAGTTCTTTAAAGGCGAGTTTACACATGATGTTATAGTCATATGTAATGAGAGACTTGTTCCACATTTATCTCTAGCATTTGTATGGCATACTTTAAGGCACTCCACATAAATTGTAAACTAAAAAGAAATAGTCTATGGTTATTTGAAATTACTATATTTTCTGCGTAAGTCATGGTAGAAGAATACAGGTAGATGCATCAACACTTGGGAACATTGATATGTCAAAAATTTTAAAAGGTTTTTTTTTCGAAAATTAGTTTATTTTTTATATCTTTTCTTATACGACGTCAATCTAAGGCTGTTATTTTATGTATTTTTCAACAGTTTAAACAAATTTGAATATTTATTCATTAAAAAAATTCAATTTAAAAATTGATTTGACAGTTCATTGTCCCAACAGCTGTGTCGATGCGACTACCTATATTCTTCTGACATGACATAAGTATAGTGTAATCTAAACGAAATCCACTCGACCTCAAATTTCAATTTCATAGCGCATACGTCAAATAATGTCCACTGGATTTATTAATACGATTTACGTGACGTATGGAATTGACATTTGAAATCGAGTGGATTTAGTAGTCTAAACGAGCTCTAAGTATATTGTGCGAAGCGTTGTGCAAAAGCCACTATATATGTGTGAAGGTGCAAGTATATAAAAAGCTTGAAGTCATAGCTAGGCATATTAATGTCAAATAATAATGGAAAACAACGGCAAGATTTTAGTGCGGCTCTGTAATCCCTTTATGAAATGTCACAAAATATGTCTAGGCATGATTTCAAGCTTTTTATGTACTTACACCTTGACTCTTACTGATGTGTAAACTAACGCCCATGTTAGGAGAATACAGGAAGTTGCATCGACACAGCTGTTGAGACAATGAAATGTCAAACCAATTGTTGGAGCAGTTTTATTGATTCAAATTGAATTTTGTTAATTGTAATTTTTATTTCAATTTATTTGTTTTTTTTTTATGGTTTTTTATTCTATTTATTTTTGAATTTAAATTAATTAATAATATGAATTCCTTAGTTGTAAAAATTAGTATTTAAATAGTATGTAAATTTACAATTAAGTTAGATGTAGAAGAATAGGATAATGAGAAAGAATAATAATAAAGTCATTGTTGTGAATTATACCGCCAACGATACGCGTCTTTCTTCTCGCCGTCCATAAAAAATAATATTTAGAAATTATAAATAAATTAATTTTATAATTAAAAAAAAATATAATACCCTTAAAATAAAGGGTAACACCAATTTTGAAAATGAAATTTTTGAATGAAAAGTTATTCAAATTTGTAACTATTGTTAAAAATGCATATCCTAACAACCTCCGATTGGCGTCCTATGGGAAAACATAAACAAATCTACTTTTTTTGAAGAAACATTTAAAAGTTGTTGACATATCAATGCTCCTAAGCGTTGATGCGTCCACCTGTAGTCTTCTACCATGACGATGCATTGCAGTTGACAATTTAAATCCACTTGGTATAAACAACACAATGGAAACGTACTATAACATAATACGATAATTAGGCAAAGCTGGTATTAAAAACTACTCAAATACAACCCTGATTTTGAGCCATTGTTGAATTAAAAATGTAAACAACAAAAATAGCAACAATATATTTATAGTTTTTTCGATGCTGAATCTTTGACTTATGGTCAAAATTTATATTTATAAATCCATTGTTTATATATTTCATAGAAAAACATCTTTGAGTCATTCAAAAGAAGGCAAAGCAGTTCTTTTTCTTTGGACTACTTTCATTATGTTACTACCTACATAAACCTCCTTCTTTTCCATACATTTCATCATCATCCTGCGATTACGTTCAATTGTTTATTGCCAG